AAAAAGTGCTCAACATCACTCAGCATCAGGGAAATACAAATCAAAACCACCATGAGATACCACCTCACACCAATCAGAATGGCTAAAATTAACAAGACAGGAAACAACAAATGTTGGTGAGGATGTGGAGAAAGGGAAACCCTCTTACAGTGTTGGTGGGAATGCAAACTGATACAGCCACTCTGGAAAACAGTATGGAGGTTCCTCATGAAGTTAAAAATAGAGCTACCCTGTAGCCCCCTAATTACACTATGGGGCATTTACCCCAAAGATACAAATGTGGTAGTCTGAAGGGACAACTGCAGCCCAGTGTTCATAGCAGCATTTTCCACAATAGCCAAACTATGGAAGGGGACAAGATGTCCATTGACAGGTGAATGAATAAAGAAGTTGTGGTATATCTGGAATATTAGTATATATGAAATAAATGGAATATTTCTCAGCCATCAGAAAAGATGAATAGTTTCATTTACATCAATGTGGATGGAACTGGAAAGTATTATGCTAAGCAAAATAAGTCAGAGAAAGACAATTATCATATGGTTTCACTCATATGTAGAATATAAGAAATAGCACAAAGGATCAGAGGGGAAGGGAGGGAAAACTGAATGGGAAGTCATCAGAGAGGGAGAACCATAAGAGACTTAACTATAGGAAAAAAACTTAACGGTAATTGTGTGGTAGGCATTAAGGAGGGCATGTGATGTGATGAGCGCTGGGTGTTATATGCAACTGATAAAAAAACTGAATTCTACATCTGAAACTAATTATATACTATATGTAGGCTAATCAAATTTTAAAAATAAAATACTGTAATTGGATTGATGATTATAATAGGTATAGTGTTCCCTACATACCACTCAGACCATTAATAGGAACTTTGCACCCCAAAACTGTTTTCCTTGTTTTATATAACATCTCATTTATTATCAGTCTGCAAACATTTCCTGAACATTTTTGGTGTATATAAAACTGTTTAAAACCTTGAGAGAGAAGAAATTCTAAGGACACCTAAACTGCAAATAAGGCAGTAAGGCAGCAGCCTTACATTGGCAAAGCAGATGGTTTCCTACAAGTCTTGATTTTAAGGTGTCAACAACATAATACCATAAACAGTTGGAAGCTTCGATGTCAGATAAGTCTGACCCCTCTTCTCACCAATAACATGGACTTAGGTGGGCTGCTCAACCCTTCTGAGTCTCAGTGGCCCATCTGTAATTGGAAAGAAGGCCCAAGTAAGAAAGATAGACCTAACACAGTGAACCATTTAAGTATATTCTGGAAGAAGGTAGAATATAAATAAATGAATATCTGAACATTTAATGTACTAAGCTTTCAGTCAGTGTCAGACTTTTCTCCCTAGCCTGTCACATTACCTGAAATTCCACCGTTAGGGCCTGGGTCTTTTAGGTTGTGGAATTGTATTTTCAGACATCACACATCAGGCTGCTCTCAGCTGGTGGCATCTAGTATGAGGGTTTTTTGTTTTTTGTTTTTGTTTTTTCAGGAAAAGAATGCTTTTTTTATATTATGTTCAGCTAGCCCAAATATAGTACATCATTAGTTTTGTTTTTTTAATACATTTTTTATTATTATGTTCAGTTAGCCAGCACAGAGTACATTAGTTTTTGATGTGGTGTTCAACGATTCATTAGTTGCATATAGCACCCAGTGTGTTAACATGCCCTCTTTAATACCCATTACCCGGCTACCCCATCCCCTCACTCCTCTCCTTTCTGCAACCCTCAGTTTGTTTCCCAGAGTCTAGAGTCTCATGGTTTATCTCCCTCTCTCCCATTCAGGTTTCCCTCCCTTCCCCTATGGTCCTCTGTGCTATTCCTTATGTTCCACATATAAATGAAACCATATGATAATTGTCTTTCTCTGCTTGCCTTATTTCACTTAGCATAATCTCCTCCAATTCCATCCATGTTGAAACAAATGATAGGTATTCATCCTTTCTGATGGCTGAATAATATTCTATTGTATATTTGAACCACATCTTCTTTACCCATTTATCTATTGAAGGACATCTTGTCTTCTTCCATAGTTCGGCTATTGTGGGCATTGCTGCTATGAACATTGGGGTACAGGTGTCCCTTCCTTTCACTACATCTGTATCTTTGGGATAAATACCTAGTAGTGCAATTTCTGGGTCATAGGGTAGCTCTATTTTTTAATGTCTTGAGGCTAGTATGAGGTTTTTGGGGGTTTTTTTTTTTTTGTTTTGTTTTTTTTTTTAAGATTTTACTTACTTGACAGAGATCACAACTAGGCAGAGAGGCAGGCAGAGAGAGAGGAAGGAAAGCAGGCTTCCCGCTGAGCAGAGAGCCTGATGTGGGGCTCAATTCCAGCACCCTGGGAGCCTGACCTGAGCCGAAGGCAGAGGCTTTAATCCACTGAGCCACCCAGGCGCCCCTAGTATGAGGTTTTTAAAAGAGATTCATTTCACACAAAACTGGGTGGATCCACGCAGTCCCTTAAGAGAACAAACCATAGGTCCATTAAGAATTGTTGAATACTTGATTCATTCACTCATTCATTCAGTGTGTAGTATGCTAGGTGCTGAGGTGCCAGACATGACAAATTGGAAAGAGAATGGCACCCCAGGCAGTAGGAACAACAAGAGCAAAGGTGTAAGGCAGAAAAAGTGTGTTCTATAGCTCGAGGGGAGTGTGTAAGTGTGATAATGCAGGGGGAGAAGCACTTGTTTGTACTCTTGTTTTTAGGAACCTTTTGTTACAACATGAGCACAGATGTTATTTGAAGAACTGCGTTTTAGAAAGATCGTTCTGGCAATGTTGGCAATAATAAATCAGAAGGGTAACAAAATCACAGAGAGATCATTTAGCGGGGGCTATATCCATAATTCAGTCACGTAGCACAAAGGATTCCAGCTGAGACAGCCCCAGCTTTGCTGTGGGTGAGTATTGCATTGAGCCCAGTTGTAGATCAGAGGGAGCTGAGGGGTACAGGGATGGGGATAGCACCAGAAAGTGATAAACAGATCCTGAAAGAGGGAATTGGAGAGTACCAAGGAATAGTTTGACTTTCTTTCAAATGTTGCCTGTCGTGGGCCCCCCACTGCTCTGGCTGCTTTGAGTGGGTACAAAAAAGAGAAAATAGGGTCTCTGGTTGCCCAGAGGGAGATGCAGTAGGAATTTGGTGGCCAGAAGAGACATTTAATACCAATCATTTTTACCGCTTAAACTTAAACTTTGAACCATGTGACCTGGGAATCACAGAACCACATTTAATAAAAAAGATGGCTCATATTTTAGTCAGAAAACTAAATGTAGTGTTTAAAAAATGGTTTCTATCTTCAAGGAATTCAGATGTTAGTGAGGAGACTGGACATCCACACCTAACAGTGTAAAGCAATAAGACAGTGTTAAGAGATAGTGAGTACTACAGAAAGTTAAAGAGGGTGAAGATTGATGGGGATAACATTTAGTTTATGTATACTGTACTCTGTACCTCCGAGGTACACACTGTGTACACAACTGTTATTTTTAGTAGAATGATGGAAAACACATCAGATTTCTAGTGGCACCTTCAGAATATCTGAATCTTGAAAGCCAATGCAGTAGTATAGTATGTTAACTTATTTACTAACAGAATTGGCAAAGATCTTTTACATTAGCTATAGGTAATCAAACCACAAGGTGGAGATATTAACTGAATTTCAACCAGTCTTGTGATTAATCATATTGGTAAAAACTTAAATCTGACTTGAAAGCCTTACTACAGTGAGACATTGCTTATTACAATTTGGTCACTTTATGGTTCTGATAGAGATATTCGGTGTTTATTAACAGGTAGGAGAGAAAGAGATGTAGTTCCTTTTAAATTAATTACCAATTATAAATGACATTTTAAGAAGGAGTTGACCAAACCATATTACTAAAATATGTTTTTAAAACTAGCCTCATAATGATTACTCAATATCGTATATCATTTGTGGAGCTGATTGTTTTCCTTTAGAAATAAGATGTCCTGGGGGCACCCTGGTGGCTCAATTTGGTTAGATGACCAACTCTTAGTTTCTGCTCAGGTCATGAGCTCAGGGTTCTGAGATCAAGCCCTGAGTCAGGCTTGAAATTCTGTCTCTCCCTTGCCCTCTGCCCCCTCCCCTCACACACACACACACACACACACACACACACACACACATACTCTCTCTCTCTCTCTCTTTCTCTCTCTGCCTCTCTCTCTCAAATAAATAAAATCTTAAAAAAGAGAGAGAGAAATAAGATTCCACTGTAGTCACTCTGTCATGATAGACATTTTAAGGTTTTAAAAATGTGTTTCTATATCAAATGACCACTGTGACTGTATATTTATGAACAGTGTTTATTGGCATAGGTTTGGTATTTTACTTCTTAGTAATTTTGGGCAAGTTAATAGAGTGGTGAATAAAAGTGAATCATAGAATAGTCCATGATGGAGAAGATTGAGGTTGGGGTAATGAATGAATGTCAGGTGTTGACAGGAAATGTGCCAAACCAACAAAAATATCAGAAGCTGATGCCTGAGATATGTAAACAGTCTTCTGACTGTTTCTGTGACCAGTACAACCTAGAAAAGCAGTCAAGAACAAGGGAATACACAGATACAAAAGGTCAAAAATCAGACCAATAAGTAGTAAGTAAACAGATATATAGGAAAAGGAGGCAATGAAGGATTTTGTTTGAACAAAAGCAAATAAATATAAATACAAGAACATATTCATCCAGGTTCTAAAGATAAGAGTAAACAGCTTAACTTTACTAGATGGATGAGTGTGACTCAGGAGCCAGGGCAGATCCTGGTACCACTCTCTTTACTTAATTACAAGATGTCTGACATTCTAAATTGAGTATGGATAGGATTCCTTGAGGTTATGTGATAAATCATCCTGTAGCAAATAAATTTCCAATGACCTGGCAAATAGTGTTTAATTTGCTCATATGTTGACCATTTTACATCTTTTGAAGTAATACCTAAGATTTGCTTTTTAGGAATCTGAGAACCGGCAAATGATGGACCAACTCCGAAAAGCCAATGAAGATGCTGAAAACTGGGAAAATAAGGCCCGTCAAGCAGAAGCAGATAACAATACTCTCAAATTAGAACTTATCACTGCTGAGGCAGAGGGTAACAGATTAAAAGAAAAAGTAGATTCTCTCAACAGAGAGGTTGAGCAGGTAAGTTTGGGAAAATATACATGTAGGACATTCTGCATAATTGTTAAAAGAGTTTTGTTTGGCATTCTATAAATATATAAATAAACATTTAACTTATTTAAATATACTGTGAATTATAGACTAACTATTCTCCTATATCCACTCTGGTTCTGCTTTAATCTATTAACTGCCCTACAATTGGAATAATCTGGCATTTTTTAAAATTAGGAATTATTTCAAATATACTAAGAAAGTTTAAAAAAAAAAAGGTAATATAAATAGCACACATATACCCATCTCCCTAGTTGAAGGATGCTAAAGCTAACATTTTTCCAAGTTCCTTCAAGACTCTCTTTTTGTGAAAAAAACAAAACAAAACAAAATATTACAGATACAGCACTTTATCCTTTCACCACTTCTCTCCCTAATGGTTAGTGTGGATAACTTTCATCAGTTTTGTAACTCTTTGGTATGTGTTTATACTTTTTCTGCATGTTTATTACCCATACGTTATGTATAATGTTTTGTGTGATTTAAGTTTTTAAGTGATACTCTAGATATCCATTTGCATTTTGCCTTTTTTGTTCCATATTATAATTTTGAAATTTATCCATTTTGATACCTACAGTATATATCCAAACAGTTGCATCTGTAGTCATTGTATAAATATTTTATTTTTAAAATTCATTCCAATATTAAAGGAAATTTAATTGTCTTCACATTTTCTATAATAAAATGCTGCAGCAAACATTCTTTTACATTTTTCCTTGGGTGTATATATCTCTGGGTTAATGCCTGGAAGTAGAATACCTAGATCCAAGATATGGACAGTTTTAACTCTTCTAAGTATTGTCAAAGTGCTCTCCCAAAGTTTTACCCTTTCAGTAGAAATCATGGAATTGTTATTAATCAATACTTGATGTGTTCAGATTCTTGTTTTTTTTTTTTTTCATATATAGTCTGTTTTCTTTTTCCTTGATTAAAAATGAAATTGGGGATCTTTTCATCTTTCTTGGCCATTCAGAATACCTCCTCTATAAATTTTCTCTTGATTCTCCCTTGAATGCATTTTTGTAAACTTTTGTCCATTTTCTATTGGGTTATTTATCTTTTTCATATTGATGTATAGGAATTACCTATATATTCTTGATAATATTCCTTTTAAAGACACCATGGTTATCCTCTCTCTCTGGCATGTTTTTTCACTGTGCTTGCAAGATAAACAGAAGTTTTAAATTCTGATGCTGTCAGAATTATCGTCAGTGTTTTCCCATATGGTTTATGTTTTTATGTCTTCTCTAAGAAATCCTTTACTATCCCAAGACCAGAAAGATATTTTCTCATATTTTAAAAGTTTTTCTAAAATTCTTAAAGTATGTGAAATTTTGCCCTTCACATTTAGACCTTTAATCCATTTGAGATTGAATTGTATGGTTTGAAATAGAGATGTCATTTTTGTTTTTGTGGATGGATATCCACCATCCTTTCTTCACTGAATTATAAGTCTACTTTGTTTCCATTTGTTCTGCTCCATTGGTCATTTTATCTGTTTTCTAACAATAAATCCTTGGAGCTTCTATAGTTTTATGTTAAGTCTTAATATCTGGGATTAATGTTCCCCCCATTTAAAAAAAAAGATTCTATTTATTTATTCATGAGAGATGGAGAGAGAGGCAGAGGCAGAGGGAGAAGCAGGCTCCTAGAGAATCAGGGAGCCCAATGTGGGACTTGATCCCAGGACCCCAGGATCAAGACCTGAGCCGAAGGCAGATGCTTAACTATCGGAGTCACCCAGGTGCCTCTCCCCCCAAATTTTTTTGAAGATTTTATTTATTTATTTGAGAGTGTGTGTAAGCATGAGTGGGGGTGGGTGAGAGGCAGAGGGAGAAGCAGACTCCCTACTGAGCAGGGAGCCCGGGGCAGGGCTCCCTCCCTGGTCCTTGAGATCATGACCTGAGCTGAAGGCAGACACTTAACCAACTAAGCCACCTAGGCACCCCTATTCCACATCTTTATCTATTCATCAGCCAGAGGAAATGTGGGCTATTTCCATAATTTGGCTATCGCAGATAATGGCTGCTATAAACATTGGGGTGTATGTATCCCTTTGAATTAGTATTTTTGTATTCTTTGGGCAAATACCTAATAGTGTAATTACTGGATCTTAGGGTAGCTCTATTTTTAACTTTTTGAGGAACCTCTGTACTGTTTTTCAGAGTGGCTTCACCAGCTTGCTTTCCCACCACAGTGCAAGAGGTTTTCCCTTTCTCTACATCTTTGCCTACACTTGTTGTTTCTTGTGTTGTTTCTAGACATTCTGATAGGTTCGAGGTGATATCTCATTGTAATTTTGATTTGTATTTCTCTGATGATGAGTAATGTTGAGCATCTATTCATGTGTCTGTTGGCTGTCTGTGGGTCTTCTTTGGAAACATATCTATTCATGTCTTCTCCTTTTTAATTGGATTATTTATTTTGGGGGTGTCAAGTTTTATAAGTTCTTTATATTTTTGGATACTAATCCTTTATTGTTAATGTCATTTGCAAGTATCCTCTCCCATTCCATAGGCTGCCCTTTTAGTTTTGTTGATTGTTTCCTTTGCTGTGCTTTTTATTTTGATGAAATTCCAATAGTTTATTTCTGCTTTTGTTTCTCTTGCCTTGAGACCTATCCAGAAAAAAATTGCTATGGCACGTGGCAGAGAAGTTGCTGCCTGTGTTCTCCTCTAGGATTTTTATGGATTCAGGTCTCATATTTAGGTCGTAAATCCATTTTGAATTTATCTTTATGTTTGGTGTAAGAGAATGTCCTGGTTTCATTTTTTAGCATGTTGCTGTCCACTTTTCCCAACACTATTTGTTGAAGAGACTCTCTTTTTCAATTGGATATTCTTTCCTGCTTTTTTGAGTATTAATTGACCACATAGTTGTGGTTAATTTCTAGGTTTTCTATTTTGTTCTATTGATTTACCTATTTTTGTGCTATTACCATCCTGTTTTGATCACTACAGCTTTGTAGTGTAACTTGAAATCTGGAATTGTGATGCCTCCAGGTTTGGTTTTCTTTTTCAACATTCCTCTGGCTATTCAGGGTCTTCTGTGGTTTCATACAAATTTAGGATTGTTCTAGCTCTGTGAAAAATGCTGGTGGTATTTTGATAGGGATTGCATTAAATGTATAGATTGCTTTGGATAATATAGACATTTTAACAATATTTGTTCTTCTAATCCATGGGCATGGAATGTCTTTCCATTTCTTTCTGTCATCTTCAATTTCCTTCATTGGTGTTTCATAGTTTTCAGAGTACAGGTCTTTCACCTCTTTGGTTAGGGTTATTCCTAGGTTTTGGTGCATTTGTAAATGGGATTGATTCCTTCATTTTTCTTTCTGTGGCTTCTTTGTTTGGGTATAGAAATACAACAGATTTCTGTATGTTGATTTTTGTGTCCTGTGACCTTACTGAATTTGTGTATCAGTTCTAGTGGTTTTTTTTCCCCTTTTTTGAATTTAAATTCAATTAGCCAAGGTATAGTACAGCATTAGTTTTTGATATAGTGTTCAGTGATTCATTAGTTCAGTATAGCATCCATTGCTCATCATATCATGTGCCCTCTTTAATGCCCTTCTTGACTTCTTCCTTGCCAATTTGGATGCCTTTTGTTTATTGTTGTTTGCGTGGCTAGTACTTCCAGTATTATGTTAAATAACAGTGGTATGAGTGGACATCCTTGTCTTTTTTCCTGACCATAGAGGAAAAGCTCTCAGGTTTTCTCCATTGAGGATATTAGCTGTGTTTTTTTCTGTTTTTGGTTTTGTTTTTTGGTTTTTGTTTTTTGGTTTTTTTTGTATACGGCTTTTATTATGCTGAGGTATGTTCTGTCTAAACCTACTTTGTTGAGGGTTTTTTGTCATGAGTCGAAGTTGTACTTTGTCAACTGCTTTTTCTGCATCTATTCAAGTGATCATATGGTTCTTATCCTTTTTATTATTAATGTGGTATAATACACTGATTGATTTGCAAATATTGAACCTCCCTGGCAACCCAGGAGTAAATCAGACTTGATCATGGTGAATGATTTTTTTAGTAAGTTATTGGATTCAGTATTTGCCAGTATTTTATTGTGAATTTTTGTATCCAGGCTCATCAGGGATATTGACCTGTAGTTATCTCTTTTTATTAAAGTTTTTTTTTAATTTTTTAGTAATCTCTATGCTATGTGGGACTTGAATTCGTGACCCTGAGAACAAGAGTCTCTCACTCCACTGACTGAACCACACACTCCTGTACTTCTCTTTTTTAGTGGAGTCTTTATCTGACTTTGTATTAGGGTACTGCTGGCCTCACAGAATGAATTTGGAAGTTTCTTTTTTTTTCCTTTCCTTTTTTTTGTTGGGGGGGCTAGTTTGAGAAGAATAGATATTAACTCTTCTTTAAATGTTTGGTAGAATTCACCTGTGAGGTCGTCTGGCCCAGCACTTGTGTTTGTTGGGAGTTTTTTGATTTCCAATCCAATTTCTTTGCTGTTTTTTGGTCTGTTGAAGTTTTCTATTTCTTCCTGTTTCAGTTTTGGTAGTTTATAAATTCTAGGAATTTACCATTTCTTCCAGGTTGTCCAATTTGTTGGCATATAGTTTTTCATTATATTTTCTTATAATTGTATTTCTGTGGTGTTGATTGTTATTTCTCTGCTCTCATTTGTGATTTTATTCATTTGGGTCCTTTATCTTTTCTTTGTGATAAGTCTGGCCAGAGTTTTACAATTTTATTAATTTTTTCAAAGAACTGGCCCTTGATTACATTAATCTGTTCTATTGTTTTTTTAAAATTTTCTATATGATTTATTTCTGCTCAAATTTTTATTATTTCCTTCCTTCTGCTATCTTTGCTTCACTTGCTGTTCTTTTTCTAGCTCCTTTAGGTATAACGTTAGGTTGTGTATCTGAGATTTTTCTTGCTTCTTGAGGTAGGCCTGTATTGCTATATACTTCCCTCATAGGACGGCTTTTGCTGCATCCCAAA